AGACCCGTCCCCACTTCCCGCTTGTGCGCACGCGACGCGATGCGAGCTGGATACGTGCTTACGAATTCCTCCGGCGGTTGTAGTCCGGCCTCCACTGCATCTTCAACTCCAGGGCCGTGCGGATAGTAGCTTGGGCCGGGGTCTCACCGCTCCTCGACGGAGCCGGCTGCTCCGTTTGCCAGCCAGCCGGCAAGGTGCGCTGCGTCGCATAGAGGGCCGGCCGGTTGCGCCCGCTGGGGGAGTCCTCCTCTGCGAGCTGGATCGGCGCTACCTTCTCGTCTTGCAGGAAGTTGTGCAGGTGACAAAAAGCCGTGATGAGATCCGCGCGTCCTCCGTACTGTACACGGAGAGGTCGCCACAGAATGCCCCAAGTCGAAACCAGGATGCCGAAGCTCTGCTCGATCTTGACACGAAGCTGGCTCAGGTGGAAGTTGAACGAGTCCTCACCCGCCGGCAGGAGCCTCCCAGGGTACGGAGTCAGAAGCTTTTCTCCGATGGGGTAGGCGGCGTCACCAATGATGTGAAATCCGGCGGGCAAGCGGGCGACGGCCTTGGCGAGGGAAGATCGATTCCATGCCACCCAGTCGTTCGTGGAGCCTGGAGAGATGGCCGACATAGCGCAGCNTCGATCTTGACACGAAGCTGGCTCAGGTGGAAGTTGAACGAGTTCTCACCCGGCGGCAGGAGCCTCCCAGGGTACGGAGTCAGAAGCTTTTCTCCGATGGGGTAGGCGGCGTCACCAATGATGTGAAATCCGGCGGGCAAGCGGGCGACGGCCTTGGCGAGGGAAGATCGATTCCATGCCACCCAGTCGTTCGTGGAGCCTGGAGAGATCGCCGACATTGCGCAGAACCGGTAGTCGGCGGTGCACATCGCTTGTACGTTGATGCCGTACGCGGACTTGCTGCCGGAGTAGTACGCGATGACGTTGGCGGTGTCCTTCGCACACGGAGCCTTGGTCTCGACGACCCAGGAGAAAATGCCATCGGTGCTCTTCTCCTGCATTTGTAGACGGCAGACACGAGGGCGGGAAAGTAGCAGTGCCGGGAAGGGGATAAAGATTAGTCGAGAGATGGACGTTGACGAACTTCGGTAAATTGCGTTCGGCTGTACGTTGTGTGGGTTGATGTCGTGTGCGAAGGCGCCATCACCAGCAACGGTGCACATACCACGTTTGCTAATCCTAATATTGTAGAGTTGTGAATCGGAACGATGTACACGATATATATCGTCCGATATATATCGATATCGGTATCGAAAATTCGTGCCGANGAGTTGTGAATCGGAACGATGTACACGATATATATCGTCCGATATATATCGATATCGGTATCGAAAATTCGTGCCGATGTTCCGACCGATGTTTTCTTAGGGGCTCCGTGAATCAAATTTAGGGTATGCGCAGCAGTACGGAGCCCCTGTACGCCACACACACACAGCACAGCAGCGCAGAAACAGCAGACAACAGCACCATGAGTGATCATTTATTTTTTGTTCCTTCTCGTTTGCTCGTTTTTTTCTTTTTTCGGTTGCACGTTGCATGCGCAGGTAGTAGGGAGGTAGATAAGCG